CAGAGAAATGCAAATCAAAACAACTCTGAGATTCCATATTACACCTGTCAGAATGGATCAAAAACACTGATGACAATTCATGCTGGAAAGGATGTGGGGTAAAGGGAACACTACTCCATTGCTGGTAGGAACAGCCACTATGAAAATCAGTATAGTGATTTCTCAGAAAATTAAAAAACAGCCTACCTCAAGACCCAGCAATACCACTTTTGGGTATATACCCAAAGGATGCTCAACCATACCATAAGGACATTTGATCAACTATGTTTATAGCAGCATTATTTGTCATAACCAGAACCTGGGAACAACCTAAATGCCCCTCAACCAAAGACTGGATAAAGAAGATGTGGTACATTTACACCATAGAGTACTACACAGTGGAAAAAAATGATATCTTGAAATTTGCAGGCAAATAGATGTATCTAGAAAATATCATATTGAGTGAGGTAACCCAGACCCAGAAAGACAAATATAATATGTACTCACTTATAAATGGCTTTTAGACATAAAGCAAAGAAAAAAGAGCCTACAATTCACAACCCCCAGAAAACCTAGACAACAAAGAGGACCCTAAGAATGACATACATGGACCTAATCTACATGGGACATAGAAAAAGACAAGATTTCCTGAGTAAATTGGGAGCGTGGAGATCATGGGGGATGGTAGAAGGAAGAGGGAGGAAGGGGGGAGGGGAGAAAAATATATAGCTCAATAAAAACACTAAAAATAAAATACACAAAAAAGAAGATAAAGTCAGGAGTTCTGTGATGTGACATACACCATGAATGCTCTACATCCAGCTTTTCACCAGACAACTCCTTTCAGTCCCCAGTGGGAAGGATAACTTTGCATACTAATGAGATAACTGGTAGCTGGGGGATCCCAGATAGCTGTAGAAATGAGTCTGATCACCTAAGATTAGATGGTTGATCGGTTCAGTCAGTCCTCCACTCTCAAGCAGGGCAGAGGAGCTGAAGGCTGAGTTGATCGTGAAAGTCTAATGATAAAATTGTGCCTATCCAATAGAGCTGTATCAAAACCCCAAAGGACAGGGTGCAGTTAACTTTCTGAGAGTGGAAGGTGTGAAGGTATATGGAAGCTGGTACATTCAAGGGAGTTATAGGATTGCCGATTCCCTTTGCATACACCTTGTCCTGTATATCTCTCTATCTGCCATTGGCACCCTCTGAAATTCTTTTGTGAGAAATGGGAGATCATAAATGAAATGTTTTCCTGAATTCTATCCTGCATTTTAACAAATTAATTTGAGCTGTAGGAGGCCGTCCTGGGAACTCCAATTTATAGCCTGTTAGTCAGAAACACGGATGGCAATCTCCAGCTTGTGACTGGCATCTAAAGTGCAGAGGCAGCCCTAGGAGACCTAGCCTGCAATCTGGGAAATACAATATTACCTCCAGGCAGACAGTGTCAGGATTCGATTGACTGAGAGTTGGGGGGAAGTTCCCACACATCTGGAGGCAGAAGAGTGAGCAGAAAATGCACATCGGTGTGTTTCCTTACATCTCCAGCTCCCTGTGGTCCAGGAGCTTCAGCAGGAGTGTGTGGAACCTCTGGTGGGAATGTGAGCTACATCACCTCCAAGATGCCCAACAGTGACAAGACCCTCTTGTTCCCTACTGAAGGGAAAGAGCTCAGGCTTTAAGAACTCACAGGATCCCTTCCCCGGAGACACCAGGGAGGCATTAGAGCATCCGCATCACCTTGAATGCCCAAAGAAAATGGTCTGCCTCTGACTTTGAATTGCATCTACCTGCTAAAGAGGTTGCTTCAGGGCTAATGGCAAAGCAGGGATCAGGACAAAAAAACACTGGACCACCTCGGAAAAGTGTGTTCAGCTGTGTGTGGTGGGTCCCTAGCACCTGAGAAGCTGAGGAAGAAAGATTACTAGCTCAAAGTTAGCCTGGGCTACCTAGACAGACCCTGTCTCAAAAGATCAGAAAGTCATGGGAGAAGGCTCAGTCAGTAAAGTCATTGTCATGGGAGCATAAGGACCTGAGTTCAGTCCCCAGAACCCATGTAAAGGCCAGGAGTGGCACTGAACAGCTGCAATGCCAGTGCTAAGGTAAGGGGCTTGCTAGCGAGCCAGTCTAGCTGGACTGGCAAGCTCTGCGTTCAATGAGAGACCCTGTCTCAAAAAACAAGGTAGAGAGAAATTATGGAAGACCTCCAACAATCAACCAACCTCTAGGTTCTAATCACACACACAGACACAGACAATGACACACACACACACACACACACACGGGAAAAAAACACAACAAAGATCATCATGGATTCTCAGTGCTAAAAGGGACAGCAGGTATCTCCCTGAACCATCTTCCTTCTCAACATGGCAACAGTAAGCAGGAGATCTCTTTCTTAAGTACTTGTTGAGTGAATGATCTTCTGTCCTGCCATCTTAATATTTTTGTGTGTGCACACATATGTATACATGTGGGTACGTGTTTGTGTGTGCACATATATGTGTACATGTGGGTGCGTGTATGTGTATGTGCATATGTGTATATGTGGATGCCTGTTTCTCTGTGTGTATGTGTGGGTGTGTGTTCGTGTGTGAGCACGTGTGAAGTTCAGAGATCAGTCTCAAGAGCCACTCCCCTTGTTTTCTGAAGCAAGGCCTCTCAATGGTCTGGAGTTCACTTATATGGCCAGACCCCAGGGATCCACCCATCTTTGCCTCCCCAGTGTTGTGATTACAAGCTTGGATCACCACACCCAGCTTTTCTGCATGAATCTGGGAATAAATCTCAGGTTCTCAACAACAACAAGAGGTTCACTGACTGAGCTATCTCTGTAGGTCATTTTAATGTTTTATCAATGATTTTGATGAAGACACTGACGTAAGTGTCACAAATCAGGCCAGATATGCCCATGTGGCAGCTAGAATTCTCTATGGTGAGAAGAGCTTTGGCATTACGACAATGGCAGAAAAAAAATCTAAGCTCTAAATTTGATTGCATCTGTATGAAATGGGGCTTTTTTTTACATGTAATGACAAAGTCAGTAGGGTCCAAAAAGACACACTCTGTATTAATAAGGTAAGGTGTATAGCATGCTGTTATGAGCTTTTCCATTTATCAGAGGGCAGAGTTTTCAGGCTAATTTTAAATGATGCACTTTAGGAGATCCCTGACCAGAAGGGGGGGGGGAGGAGGAGGAGGAGGAGAAGAAGACGAGAGAATGAGAACACGAGAGAATAGTAAGCACACTAAGAAGGACAATTAACTTTAAAATAAAAGCCAAAGAAACATCACAGTAAGAAAATAAGACTAAGAAAGACACAGGAGTCATGTCAAGGTTGTAGATTTGGTGCTGAGGGTGAAATGACAGGACATGCTTAACATAGGGCATAGCTGTGCCCAGCAAGGCTGCAGACTGGCCTGCCTTTATGAGGAATGAACTCATAGCTTGTCCATGCATTGAGGACAACTGGGCAGATCTACAATTTTTGACACTGATTGATCAAACAAGATGCTTCACTCTTTCTCTCTTCCTCCTGTTTTCTTTTTGGTGTGTGTGCGTGCGGGGTGTGTGTGTGTGTGTGTATGTGTGTGTGTGTGTGTGTGTGTGTGTGTGAGATGTCTGTGCACGGGTGGTATCCGTGTGTGTGTGTGTGTGTGTGTGTGTGTGTGTGTGTGATGTCTATGCATGGGTGGTATCCGTGTGTGTGTGTGTGTGTGTGTGTGTGTGATGTCTGTGCACGGGTGGTATCCATGTGACCTTGCTCATTTGCCGCATGCTCCTTGCATTCTCTCCAGCCTGTAATGTCTAAGTGTGGATATGTGTGCACATGGGCACCCAAAGCTGGTTCTAAGAATTATCCCTTATCACTCCTCCATCTTATTCACTGAGTCATGGTCTTTAATCAAACTCAGATCTCACAATATGCTTAGTTTGCTAGCCTGTTTGCTCTGGAGACCCTGTCTCCATCTTCTGAGGCTGTAATTACAGGTGGGCCTGGACCCACCCAGCATTCACATGGGTACTGGGGATCCGAACTCTATCCCTTACACTCATGTGATAAACACTTGAACCCATGAGCCATCTGGTAAGTGTGTTACAGGCTGAGAAAAAAAAATGAAGACATGGTAAAAAACAAGCAAAGTCACATGAACACCACCCACGGCTTCTCACAGGCTCTTGGGAGAAGACGAACTCTGCCCTGTGGAACTCCTGGAAAGTTGACCCACTGAAACATCCCTTGTAAAATCTTCGTGCCTCTCCTGTTTCTTCCACCTTTTACTTCCCCTAAAGTCACAATGGGGTGAAGGCTGGTGGGCGAGGAAGAGAAAGAACAAAAATATTCTAGTTCCTTTATGACATAAGTCACCGGACCTCAGGCAGATCCTAGCACTCCCTTCAAGCAGATGAGGGAACAATGCTGGGAGAAATTCGATGATTGCAGTAGACTGGATGGCTGGTTCAGTTCCCCCATCTCCATGAATAATAGCGAATTTCTGTATATTATGGAGCCTGGCTAGCAAGGCTTCAAGCTGCATGAAGTATAATTCCACATTCTGTAGGTTTGAGCTTATAAACTGCCTCATCCAATGGGATATTAGCCAACATGGTCCCGGCTGATGCTAGAAAGTGTGCACGTGCAGTAGGACCTGCTTTTTTGCACCTTCATGATTGGCAGCTGATCATGCCTGCTCCTCTAGCCTGAGCTCAAGAGAAAATCACAGAAGACCTGAACCTGATCTCGGCCTAGAGCTTAACTCAGTGGAGGTCAACAGACTCCATCCAGCCCGAAGGGAATCCCTCCTGCTAACACAGACACTTCTAAATGTGTGTGCTTTCAGTGGGTTCTATACCTTGGAAGTTAGGAAACATTTGTTGTGCACCATTAGCATGACAAAATCTCACTAATAGTCGATGTTTCTGAGCTTCAAAAAGAAGTTGCTGAAATGCACAGGACTGCCTTGCCAAGGAGCTAGGCAGCATCCCATGCAGCCCCTGCCCACCGCGCAGCACTCACCTGAGTCCGAGGCCGCTGGGCTCACCAGGCTCAGCAACTCCCGCTCCTTCTCATAGTCGCCTTTGCAGAGCAGCTGGCCTTCCTTCAGGACAAACTCATCCCCCTTCTGCAGCTGTCGTTCGCAGACACAGCAGCAGAAGCAGCTCAGGTGGTACACGCTCTTCTGGGCACGCATGACAAACTCGTTGGGTGCAATGGCTTCGAAGCAGCCTCCACATTTGACAGCAAATAGTCTATGTGAGAGAGAAGGGAAAGCAACGAGCATAAGGCTGGGTCTCCTCCAGTTATCAGCCGGAGGGTCTTCAAGCTCTGGAAGGAATGTTTGTACTGAAGTCAACTTCAGATTCCGTGTCTTTCTGGTCCCCCTAGATCCATGACAACTCAGGCTGACTAATGGAAGTCCCCAGATTTAAAGATTTATTTTTTTCACTTTTGTATTATCTGATGAAATCGTAATTGCATTTGTAAATGCTTTGGCATAGGCACGAAGTTAATCGTCTAATGATAACTGTGGGATTCATTCATTAGAGCATGTGTTTACTATTTTCAAAAGAAAGAGTTGTTTTCTTTTCTAAAGCAGTAGCACAATTGCAGGGGCAGAAGTCTTTCCAAAACATTCTCTATCATCCCTAGGTACCAGAGGATCTGATAGATAGAAGAAAGTCAGATGACATAAGGGAGGGAGCAGAAAGGAGGGGGTCAGCATAAAACAATACTGCTCCTCTCTCCACAGAGACAGACACGAGCTGACACAATAAATATTTCAGAAGTTGATGACAATTTGTTCGGCTGAGAAGTCTCACTTCGGCAGGAATGGTGGAAATATAAACAACTGGAGTGGTTTCCTACAGACAAGCCAACTACCACTATGGCCTAAGGGTGCCAGTCCTATCTTTTGCTTGCTCCTATGTCAGTCATTTATTCTTTTCATCCATTTATTTTCATTAATTCAGAGGCATCTCTGCATGACCCGTGATCCACTATCCACTCAGTGTCTTCACAGAGGGCAGAAGAAGAGAAACCACACCCCAACTGTGTCTACATATGGAGTGGAGTGTACAGTGTGTGAGTGTGTGTTTGTGTGTGTTCGTGTGTGTGTGACATTGCTACAGACACAACAGTACACAGGACAAATCCGTCATTGTATGGAGCTCATATGTTCGTGGAAGAAAATAAATAAGACTAGGAAGACGGCTCAGAGGATAAAGGTCCTTGTCATGCAAACCCAACAACCTGAATTCAAACCCTGAAGCCCACTTGAAAGAAGTAAGGTGAAAATGACTTCATAAAGTTGACCTCTGACATCCACATGTGTGCCACAGGGGCACTAAAACTAAAACAAACTAAAAGGAACAATGCAGAGGTGCCCCCACGTTTATAAAATATTCCAACACAGAGCTATAGCATATATAAAGAATTATAATATTCAACCACCTCCCAACCATAAAATTGCACTCGTTCAGTTACAAGGCAATCCCCTCACACAGCATGTTTATCTTGGAAGTTTCCTGAGGAAGGGAAGAGTTTCGGGGGGCGGGCGGGGCGTGAAGAGGAAGCTTGGGAAGAGCTCCTAATGAAGTGAGACACACAGATTGGCACAGGAGAGAGGAAAGACATTGAAGCTTTGAGTGGAGGAAGCCAACTCTTGAAAAGGAGAATGAGGTCGCCTGCTGTGGATCCCAGAACCACCCCAGAAACCCTTAGGGCAGACCCAGTCTGCTGGATGGTTATATGGCCTGCAACACAAACTGTGAACCACCAGGTCCATCTCTCAGCCAGCAGGGTATCCTGTGAAGCAGTTAACTCCGTATGTCCCCTCTCTACCGGTCAACCTCAGCACTGGAGTAAAGTGGAGGACCTATCCAAGTAGCTGCTTTGCCCTTTCTCCACTAATAAGCTCCACACCCAGGACTCCAAGGACCAGAAGCCCTTGCCCTTTCCCCTCCCGTTCTCCAGATGCTCACTGCGGTTTTCCTGACTATTACTGGAGCCCCTCCAGTATTTTCTTTCACACCCTTGCCCTTCGCTAGATGCCACGCGTTGTACAGAAAACCTACCTACTTCATCCCTTGGCCTCCCAAGTCCCTGGTCTCTGTTTGCCAACCTGAGCAAACTAATCAATGCTTTTCCAGGAGCTCATCAAAGGCCTTTTGTCCCCAAGCCTTGCTTCTGTTCCCCTTCTCCCGAAATGGACTGTTAAACAGACTCAAGGCAACTGTTCCCAGGGAGTCAACAAACACTTAGGAGGCCGCAGCAGCGGGTGGTAGCATCTGTGCTTGTCTGCCTTCTAGCCTGTTAATCTCTTCCTCTTTTTCTTTCCCCCTCAATTTGTCCCCCCCCCCCCCCGCCTCCACTCCATAAATTTCCCAGTGTTAGAGAAGGGAGGGCCCGAGTGAGGTCCACAAAGACAGTCTGCCATGTTGACTCAGGAGCACTGGTGGAAGTGGCAACAGTCCTACAGGCTCAAGTCCTGAAGTGGTCATGCTCCCCTGAGCACCGCAGGCCAGAAGAGGCAGGCAGGCCTGATTCCCTCCATTCTGCCTCCCTGAATCCAAACCCAGGTCAACTGCACCTTCCTCCCTCATCTCTTGTAACCTTCAAGAGCAATTCAAGAAGAGGAGCCTGCCATCTACCACCTGGGTGCCAGATGTGTACACAGCTGTACGGGTACCACTGTGGACCCAGCTGCTGACTGCACAGCCTCCCATAAGTTGTTTTCTCTAAGGCTCAGAGAAGCAGAGGAAAGGATTTGTTCAAAAGTCCAGGTCATAATTAAAACACAGCCTGTCTCCTCCTAGTGCTTGAGATGTGTCCCCCATGGTTACCTCTCCCTCTGAATGCTAATAAGACTGCATTCTGGGTTCAGAGTCTGCCAGGCTGCTGTGTCTGGGAAAGCTGGGCAGTGTCTCCAGAACTGTCAGCTCACCTATGTAGACATGACAGCATCCATCTTGTCTCACCACCCTAAGTCACCTCCCCTCTCTCTGATGCCTTTGGGCTCATCCATCTCTTCCTTGGACCTCATTCTCACTTGTAAAATGAAAACAGAGCATCTTCCACGGGGGGAAAAAAAGCATCCTGTGCAATATGGACTTACTTAGGAGTAAGTCCTAAGTGCTCCCCTCCATCCACAGATGACCCTCTGGGAGGAGAGGTGAGGAGGAATGTTGTAACAAATTAATCCACCCTAGTCCTTGAGAAGCTACAGTGGGCAGGAGGCTTGTGCTAGCTAGGTTTGTGTCAATGTGACATAACTATCTGAGAGACAGGAAGGAAACCTCCACTGAGAAATTGCCTCCATAAGATCAGGCTGCGGGCCAGCCGATAGAGCATTTTCTTAACTAGTGATTGATGGGGGAGGGCCCAGCCCCCTGTGGATGGTGCCACCCCTGGGCTGGTGGTCGTGGGTTCTATAAGAAAGCAGGCTGAACAAACCATGGGGAGTAAGCCAGCAAGCAGCATCCCTCCACAGCCTCTGCATCAGCTCCTGCCTCCAGGTCCCTACCCTGTTTGAGTTCCTGTCCTGACTTTCTTCAGTGGTGAGCAGCAAAATGGAAGTATAAGCCAAACAAACCCTTCCCTTCTCAACTTGTTTTTGCTTTGGTTTTTCAACACAGCAATAGGCACCCTACCTAAGGCAAAGTTCTAAATCCGTGGTCCTCAACTTTCCTAATGCTGCAACCCTTTAATATTTTCTCATGTTGTGGTGACCCCCCAACCATAAAGTTATCTTCATTGTTATCATCATAACTGTAATTTTGCTACTATTATCATTGTAATGTAGATATCTGATATGCAGGATAGCTGATATGCAACCCCTGTGAAAGTGTCATTCTATCTCCAAAGGGGCCACGGCCCAGAGGTTGAGAACCACTGCTCTATACGAATGGCCACAGTGGGATGTGGTTGGGACATACACAGGGAAATAACAGAGAAGGACACAGATGATTGACCGAATCTACTTAGTCACAGAATTTCTTTATCTTTTTCCTTCCTCATTCCTCCTCTTACTGTCTTTCCCCTGTGCTTTTCCAGACAGGGAGTTACAGACTGGCTGTAACTTCATTCCAGGCCCTGCTTACATCTTCTTGTCCACCTAAAAGCTGCAAGAGGCACAACCGTGAGTCTTGCTGGAAGTCAACTCCACAGGCTCAACCACATCCTAATGATATGGTTTACCTATCACTGAGTCTTGGCAGTCTCAGTTTGCACAGAGGATAAAACCAATCAAGTGCTTGCAGCCCTCAGCAAAGAAAGATAAAATAAAAATGCATGCATGGGGTACTTAAAGGTGATAACCTTTAATGCACAGGTATTTTTAGTCATTTTTATTGGTCATGCATCTGCCTTTTATACATGTGAATATTTCCTTCTTGCCCCAAAGGTGAGTTTTCATGTTTAAGGGCTTCCAGAGTCCCATCCTAAGACAGCCCTTCTTCCAGTGTGAGCTTGTCCACTGACTCCTAGCTTTGACCTCATCTCTGTTCGTGGTGTGCCAGGCAGAGCATGGTCCTCAGACCCACCTATGGTCCTATCGTTGGCCAGGGTCATCCACAGAGAGCACTCTTTCTTATTGCTGACTTCATATCTATCCTGTGCTTGGAGCCACAGTAGAAAGAAAAGCAGAAAAGATCATTTTAGGCCAGGGAAAGAGCCAAGTAGACCTGAGCTCAGAGTTTTCCCTTTACCAACAGGTTCAAAGAAGCCACTCCAGTCCCTGGGCCTTGAGTTTCTTGTCTTTCCTTTGTTAAAGGTAAGTTCTTCTCTAAACACCACACAATGTCAAAAACTTAGAGGTGGGAAAGGAATAGGAGAATAGGTCTCTGATCCCCATGTCTTCTTATTGTACAATTCTCAGTCAGAGAAGCCTGTATCTAAACCCTAATCTCCAGACAGTGTTTCAGCAGGGTACTGCTTGGCCATGCTAATCCTTCAAAAAAAACTGTCTTTTTATACAATATCACTTACATGCAGGCACACAGGTGCTAACACGTGTGCATGCATGTATGCGTGCACACTCACGTGCATGCACACACATCCAGATAAGTATATTCTAGGCTACACGTATTATGCAATCTATTTATTAAAAAAAAACTAAGACTGTATGTATTATATAGACTAGAAAAAATGTCTTCTGGAAGATAATATTTTACTCCTAAGCCATGTTTAAAATACACTAAGCTAGATAGTCTCTTAATTCATTCCCACTTCTGTCTTGTATTGGGAGGTCTTG